AAGGCAAAAATGATTGCCCCCACACAGGATTGAACTATGGACCTTTGCATGACGCAATTCTGACTACTCAGAGCTACAAGTGCAACGCTCTACCACTGAGCTATAAGGGCTTAGACCGGTTTGAGTGTCAAATGACACAATTGTAATGCAGACATTGTTCAACCTCCCAATCCTTTCAACCGCATCCACGAACGAGCAGCGAAGTTTAATGCTATTTTGTGAGTGGCTGCGAGTCTGCCGGGTTATTAAGAATACTTTCCTCGCTTTATTTGAGATGTATCTAGACGTATTATACGTAGCACATGTCCGGAATACTTGGCCCAACCCTTTGTCTATACAGTATTCATGTCCTTGAGCTGCAATTCCTATGGCTTACGAGCATATAACTGCCTGTAAAGCACTTCCAAATATGACACAAGCTTCAAAGCAAACACTTGTTGACTTGGCGCCCACGACCCAAGAGCTCATTTCAGGGTCAGAGACTCAGCAATTCACCCTGCTTTGTTTCATAAACCTTGGATTGCCATCGTAAGTGACGTCGCTTGTGCCTGAACTGACTCGCCCACATCACCCCTTGCCGAGCGTTGTTCCGTGAGTTGGAAGATAGCGGGTCCAGACGAGCTGCTCAAAGGATTACACAGTCCATGCCGAAACTACAGCGCATAACCTCACCTTTCACAGGGTTTATGTCGGTATAGCTACCCTAGCTTGTCCTTTGCAGAGTCAAGCTGCGCATACACAAGCTAACAGGGACACTCGAGGCCAACGCATACAGCTACAACTACAAATCGCCGGGCTAATGGCACGTGTTGTGGAGCAGCGCATCGTGGTGCAAGCTAAATTGCGTTGCGATGACCTCATTGGTCCATCAGCAATCAAGCCCCACCTTGTCACTACCCTTTATGGTTTGATTATATCTAAGACACACGCATTTATGTAGCAATCCACACAACAAATGTTCATATAACACTTAGATACAAGTTTTCCATCCGGTAATGTAGAGCCGGGGGCTTCAATCCAAGGAATACAAACAATATAAAGAAACACACAAAGGCCGAATGCACCGAGATACAAGAATCAAAAATGCAGAATAAACAGACGGGTGCATAGGGCGAGATTCAGACGAAATAAATTTAGGAGCGCTCGCCGCGGAGACGACGGGCGAGGGCGAGGTCCTTGGGTTGGCTAGAGGAGGAGCGGTTAGTAGCTATGTGGGTATGATAGTGAGACGACGTACATAGTCACACGCTTGGCGTGGATGGCAGCCAAGTTGGTGTCTTCAAAGAGGGAGACGAGGTAGGCTGCAAAGCATGATAAGCGCAGAATACAACTTGGCAGCCAAGAAGACTTACCCTCGCTCGCCTCCTGAAGAGCAAGCACAGCCGACGACTGGAAGCGCAAATCGGTCTTGAAGTCCTGAGCAATCTCACGCACAAGACGCTGGAACGGT